ACACAATTAACACGTTTTCTTACCGTCCACCATTCCCCGAAGTATATCGTTACCGGCTTTCTTTTTATTATATTTTTTTGTTGGTATCGCATCATTGTGGAATTTTTAGGAATTTGTGGATTAATTTTATAAATTTGAGTAACGATAAATTTTTTTGTACATCCTAGTCTAGTTTCTAACTTGCGTGTTGGTAAAAGCAACACTCATTGTTGGCAATCATTTGCCAATTTGGGTGATTTTTATTTGCAATAGTCACTTGCATTTGTTTATTTTTTTGAATAGATAGCTTTAAAATTAAGATTTGCTCCTTCACTTCTGTTTGCTGGTAACATTTGGTTTTGTAAAGAAACATCATTCCGTTAGAATATTTATTTCAAGTAATAAGCTAATGCTTTCGCAACTTTTCCGCATTTTCTTTGTAATTTTTTGTTAGTAAGATTATTTATTGAGCTTAAAAGCCTGTTCATCTCATAAAATTGACGGGTCGTTGCAGACCAAGTGTAACAATATACTGGATGACATAGCAAAATGGTATGCGGTAAATTCTCTTTATTTTAATATTACTAAAACCCACTTTATAAGATTTCATAATTGGCAAAGAACGTGTTTGGATTTGAATGTTAATATTTATGATACCTCTGTTTCTAGTTGTAAGAGTGCACAATTCCTAGGGTTGAAGGTAGATGAGTGTTTAAATTGGAAAGAACACTGCAATAATTTAATATCTAAATTGCACTCATTTTGTCATCTTTTTAGAAATTTGAAAGGTGTGTTACCTATAGAGACGATCATAAGTTTGTACCATGCACAAGTGAGTTGTAGGCTAAGGTATGGAATTATATTCTGGAGAAGTTCTGTATCAGCTAAAAATGTATTCATGTCTCAAAAACGTATTTTGAGGGACATGGCGGATGTATCCAGCAAGTATTCCTGTAGAGATATATTTAGACAATATAGAATATTAACACTATCGAGTCTATATATCTTTGAGTTTTTGTTTTTAATAATAAGAATAATTAAAGTGGGTGCTCTGCATACATATGACACTAGACAGAGGAATACATTTTATGTACCTCATTGTATTTATAATATTTCTGTGAAGTCCCCATCTGTATTTGGGCTCAAAGTATTTAATCATTTACCTTGTTACACATACGTCCGTCGACCCAAACCGTTTTGGACGAGAGCCCAAATCTTTCAGACGACGGCCCGATCTTTTCGGACGTCGTATTTCGGGCCTCCAACCGGCCTCTCGGACGTCAGCCTGTTTCCTACTGACGACGGCCCAACAACGTTAACGCAGATTCTATCAAAATTTTTTGGTTTCAGATGGCTACAAGTCAGAACTTGAAGAATCTGTCAGAATTGGCATCAATTGAAGCGGAGAACTCAAGAGTTAAAACTATCTTACATAGAATAAGGGAAGCAGCGTTCAAGCGCCTACCAAAAGGATGGGAGGACTGGAAAGTAGCCCCGCTGAAAAGAGATGACATCTGGGGAGGAACCGGACCCTCAAATCTTGAATAGAATTAAGTTTGCTTTACCCACAACTGAGATGGCACACGCAAAGTTGGCCGATCCAATAGAAAATTGACAATATGTCATAACTTTTAGTTCTCAATAACTTAAGTAAATATTTCTGAATTTTTTAAAAACAAAGGTACTTTGTACATTAATTAATGGACTCATTTTTTTAACTTCCTATTTTAAAAACAAGCAGAGATGATGCCTAGAAGCTCAAATTTCAACTCGTAAAATTTTTATCATTTACACCCCACGTGCACTCAATCTGTGGACACACTGTATATCAGAGAGAACATTTAAAGAAATGAAATTAAAAATGCTTGAATGGCCTTTCTGCGTCGGCTTGATCGTTGGACCCTCAGCTATGACCAGTAAGATAAGGGGATCAGCAGCTCAGAATGAGCTTATCCTCGCATCGCTTCGAGAGTTGAAACTCCTGATGATTTCAAGAAAGGAAGCCAATAAGATAATGGGAAGCGAATTGTCAGCATCTGAGTCATACAAGCAGATGAAAGGAAAATAATTTAGTGAAGAAAGGATCCAATGGAAGTTCAAAAGAAATGGGAAAACGTTTGGATAGAATAGAAAGCATGGTATCGGTTATTTTAGAAAAACTAAACACCTCTCAAAACAGCCCAGACTATCTCTCAGAAAATCAGACAGAAATCTCTTTCAGTAAAATCAGATACTCAGAAGTACATAAAAAGTTTCATGCCTCTCCAGTGTTCACCTCCCTACGAGTAAATCCTCAGTTACCATCGACACTCCACTCGAATCAATACCATGATCAATTAACTAAGATGGATTCATGTCTGGGTACTATTCAATACAGGGTGGTCTAAGTTTGTAGAAGATTGGAGTCAAGAGGTGTTGAAACTGCTGCGTATGATAAAAGTCATTGAAATTTCAAAACCCCAAGCAAAGAAGAACCTATATGGAATGTAAACAATATAATCGAGTGGATGAAGAAGGAAATCATTAACAAAAATAGTATATTCCAAGTATCCAGACGTATAGCATTAATTCTGCTCCTGCCATCAGGACGTCAGATCAACGATCTTACCCTGAGAATTGACGAAAGTTCGATGAAAAGGGATGCTGACTCTATCTTTTTTTGGCCAGAATTCGGATCAAAAACAGGCAAATCTTCGCATCGTCAGTCTGGATGAAGCTATATAAAGCTTCAAAAAAGAGCCTGGATCCTATTTTCTGGATAGATCAGTTAATACAAATACTAAAATATTGACTAACAGTATATGTGAAATTGTTAATAAATATCACGATAGAATATCAATAGGCATTTTTGATACTTTATTGGCAAGTTTCGGAAAGCCGTTTCTAATACGGATTTTTCTTGAGAGATATTCCCCGTTTGGTTCTGACTAAGTACTCCCTAATATCTTTATTATTGTGCAGTTAGTTTTATAATAATTAGAAATATATAATTAGGTTTCTATAACCTGTTTGATTCTTTCGTATAAAATAAAATAAAATACTCATCACTCAAAATAAAAGGGGAGCGGTATCGAACTTGAATCAGTTATTTATAACTTCCAGAGGCAGAATTCGAGCGACATCTAAAGGAATCATAGCGGGTTTGATCAAAACTTTTAAAGAAGCAGGAATATCATTTTCCCCGGGAAGTATCCGATCAGCGGTGGCCTCGGCAAGGTGGAACAACAGCATTCCGTTTGACACCATTCTTAAAAACGGAAATTGGCAAGGCAGTCAAATTTTTTTTAAATATTACAAATAAATAGATAAGACCGGTTACTCATCCACGGAATCGGACTTGATAAATAAAACTTTCGCAACAATACCTTAGTGCCATATGTGCTCATGGAGTTTTGTTTATTTCCTACTTTCGAATGGAGAATAGTCTAAGTATGTATTAATACTTAATTAATATTAACACTCACCTCACAGTACGCATTCCACGTTGTCAGAAACCAAACACTTCTTATTAAGGGTCAACCCGACGGCACCGAGCTGAAATAAACAACGTTTTCTCCCAGAATGGTAAAAAACGATTATTTCGGATCATGCCTAGGCTTGACCCACTTGTGTTCTTGACAACAGAGAAAAGAAAGCCCTTAATGACAAGGTACTGAGATGCGCTCAACGCTGCAACACCGGTCACGCGTTGGTTGCTAGGCGAGACGCGGCGTTGCCAGCATGGACACCTGAGACGTGGAATGCCGATATTTCAACATATTGAAGAACCAGAACCGGAAATCTTCCTCCAGTGGCGCTCTCCTAAAGATTCATGTTCCACAGCGCGATTGCACCCACGGAAACATAGTGTAATCTCATTAAGGGTCAAGCTTACGCATGACCCGAAATAATCGTTTTTTGCCATTCTGGGGAAAAAGGTTTATTTTCTTCATCTAACATTAAAAAATGGGACCCTGATATCTCATCTTGATTAATTTTCGAAAAATAACTGAACCGCCTCAAAAAGTGGTGGCAATTATACTGTATTCATACTAGTTTTCGATAGTATTAATAAAAATCTAAACATTTACAAAAAAAATCGATGTAAAATAGCTTTCTTTTTTAGTACTTAACTTTTTTTTCTGAAATTGGATTTGAAAATAGCACCCTCGAAAACATCCAGAACATGAATTTCCAATTTTCTACAATATTACCAAACACTGAAAAACTGAAAAATTCAATAATCAAAACAAATAAAATTTTGGTATACATTTTTCCTGACTTAGGATTTGGAAAGAGCATCTTCGAAGACATCCAGAACATGGTTTTAACATTTTTTATTTATACAGCTATCAATTGGGTATAATGAAATATCACGTCACACATTGCTACCGTACGCCTTGAAATCTAATGCACTGGACGACTTTGAATTTTGCTCAGTTATCATGAAAAAAATCCATTACATCCGCTCAAGATCGTCATCTAATAACCTTGAAACATTACGTCACATATTGATGCTACACAACCTTGAACGAGACGGTCTTGGAGACCTGACCACTGGATGGCCTTGGATTCTACTCAAGGCAATCTCAAAACATCACGCCACAACGGTAACTTCCATTTGACCTTAAAATCAATGTAGAGCGGGGGGAGTGGGTCTAGAATCAGCTATCTTCCAGACGGCCTTGAAAATTTAATCACCGGATACCTTGAATTCTGCTCAAGGCCATCTTGAAACATTACGTCACAACACTAATCTCCCATTTGACCTTGAAACCAAGGTCGAGTGGTGGGAGATGGTCCCAGAATCGTAAATCTTTCTCTAGTGGCGCTCTCCTAAACGTTCATATTTCACTGCGATTATTAGTATTATTATTATTAATATTATTTATATTATTATCANAAAAATAAATGTAAATAAATAAACACAAGTGGAACAATAAAAAAGGAAAATATTAAATTAAACATAAATATATTTAATATATACATAATTACTACAACCTAACCTATCATAACCTAACCTAACCTAATATAACATAATCTCATCTGTTGTTGTGCCGCACCACCTCATTCTGAAAAGCAGAAAATGCTTCGTTCACTGTGAGCACGAGTGCCACCATTCGACCTTTTTCTTGAATTGTATCCTCGACTTTCTGTCGCTCGAGATTGAGCTCGCATTCGAGTAATACAATTCGCTCGTGTGATTGTGCGATTTCACTGTCGAGTTCTTGGCACCTCGCGTAAATCTCGCGACATTTAGTGACTGCTCTGGTGAACAAAGCACTGTCTTGCTCTTCTTGATTTTCTGAAATCGTAGTTTGGGTGGTGGGCACAGTGGGCGCAGTCGGGATAGTGGGTACAGTCGGGACAAAGGGTGCAGTCTGGATAATGGGAGCAGTCGGGATAGTGGGTGCATTCGGGATAGTGGGCGCAGTCTGGACAATTGGAGGGGATTCGTCGCGCACATTTACATCGTGCACTATAATTATAGAGTCACTGGGGGCATCGATGGAATATTTCACTTTTTTTGATGATGAGCTTGTCTTCTCAACCGATTTCCTTTTTTTTTGGCGACTTTTCTAACTTGAAGTCATCGTCAGATATAGGCGACAGCGCTTTAGGCATATTATGTTCAACCACCGCGCTAACATATGCCTGGTTTAAAATGGTGTCGTTCCTCGGAGACACAGATGACATACCACACTCCGGACCCTCAGTACTGGATGTTATTGTTGCAGTTGGAACACGTGCCACAACGGTAGTTGGTACGACACTTTGAGATTGACGATAGGTTGTATAATAATTTTGTATGCTGCGACGATCTTCAGGTGACAACACCGGCATCGGTTTACCTGAAGTCGATTTACGCGAAGTCGACACTTTTTTTGGTGCAGTTGAGCTTCTCCCCATTTTCCAAAATCTTCAAAAAACAGTTTCACAAACAATAACAAAACGAACACAAAGACTTTCACGATTGGTTGGTAATCCAAAGAAGATGTACAACTGAACTCCTCTCACGATGCACTGTTGTAGACCTAGAGGCTACGATATCAAATGAACGTGAAAAAATCGAAATTTGCATTTTATACCACTTTAATACTTATACTAGAGCCTTCAGCCAATCAGATGTCAGTATTCTGCTCCTCGCCAAGGCCGGGACCAATCAGAATCGAGTATCGAAACCCTCAGTTTGCTTTTGTTATTTTTGAGGAAATTTTCTAGAAAGTTCTAAAAAGATGATGAAATCTGATGAAAGATTGCAAAGCATGATGTCATGATTGCAAATACGCAATAGTTAGGGGAGAATCACCCTTAATGACCGAAAATTTCTAAATAAAAGGGCTGGTTTTTCGTTTTTGAAATCAGTTCATCACCGAAGTCCTTTAGTTCAATACTAAGTTTTCAACTAAGTTCTTTTAACAAGTTACAANCCTCCTATCTCAGATACCATACAAATCTAATTTCAAGGTTAACTGCAATGCAATGTCAAATGAAAGTCACCAACCTACGTCACTTTCGGCTTTCAGCCTCAAGGTCATCCATACACAAACGTCATCGGCCCTCGGCCTCAAGGTCATCCCAAGCCAGAAAGTGGAGGGGGGAGACTCAGAGACCGCAATTATACCCTACTGTCGTATAGTTAATCCAACTCAGATAAACATATTTGCCAATATTGTAATTCTATTTACTTCTACTTTTATCCTAACTTTAAATTGCTCAAATGGACAAGCAATAATGAGAAGTGCTGTGGCAACTAATAAAATTAGTTACCCTTACTCTTGCCAAGAACCCAATGCCTTGAAAAAACGTTAAAAATGTTTCAATTCGTTATAGTTTCCAGAATAAGAATAAGTTCAAAAATTGTCAATAATTGAAAATATTTCAACGTTGTTCTTGTCTCAATGGCCACTGGATTCGAGGCGTTTGTGTTTGAAGTAATCTATTTTGTTGTACAGAAAAGTCCCAAATATTATGTAGAATAAGAATCCGAGTTTGCCTATTCCAAAAACCGTTGCTAAATTTAGGGGAACAACAAACATACAAAAAGAACGAAAAATTACATATTTTTCCCTGTAACATTGAAAGTAAGCCCTCAATAAAAAAAAGTAATTCTTTATTTTTTTTTTATTTGACGATTTTCTATAAAGTTACAACAACTGCGAATCATAAAAGTTGAATTTTACATTAACAATGGGCGAAAAATAGTAGAAAATCATATGTATGTTTGGAAAAATTTTAAATTTAAATAAGTAAATATTTATAAATATTGATGAAACTTTGTGAACAAATGGTAAAACATATGTCAATTCTGCCCTAAAAATTTGCAACGATCGATAGCGTTGTTTTCTAGTGAAAAGATTGTTAATTAAGAAAATTTTAAAAAATTCGTGGCTTTAAATTAAGGTTTAGAAAGGGCACACAAGTTTTTGGAGATAATTGTTGTCATAATAAACAATGATCAATACTAAAAATACCTATTTTTACACTTTTATAACCATTTACAATTTTTTTTAATTTTTCAACATAACTCTATAAACAATTATTTTATTACCCAGGGAATTTTCTACGCAATCGATAAAATCTTGCATACAAAAAACTACGTCGTAACCCCTTGCTTTTTAGCCAAATACGACAGCATTTTACTGTGTAGATTCTGAGATATAGAAGAATATTTTGTTATACATCAATGAATTAACAGCGAGATCATTAAAATAAGAAAATATATATTTTTTAATTTAATCATTAAATTTCGTGAAATGCATTGATGAACAAAAACTAATAAAACTTGATTACCATAACATTGTAACGTACTTTACTTGGTTTGATTTTTGGTGATGACGGTTCGGTTCAGACGTTACTTGTGGCCGCCCCCGGTATACTACCAACTCTAAACGGAATCTTAATTCGCAATTGCGAATTCTAATTTACTGGATTTATTGACGTCACTGACGTCCCTATTTGGACGCCTAATTTTATGACGACCCTTGATTACTAGTTTATCGGCAGCGGTGGTTGGCAGCCGGCGGTGGTGAGTGACGTCACAGAAACGTACTCCGGATTAAATCTTTTTGTTCGGATTGTCTCGGGCGCCAGTTTCCCTATCTTTTACGTAGGAGAAACTCCACGTGAAACCTACCCTCGGTTTAGAGTAAGTACTCGGGATAGCTGCAGTGAAGAAAGTTTAATTCCAGGGCTCTGTTATTTCTCTTACTTTTAATCAAAGTAGTTCTCTGAGTGTAGTGTTATTTTACTTTTAAAGTAAACGGTCTTATCAGTGTAGGTCACAAAAAGATACTGCGACTTTTTACTGATCGGAATTTATCAATCTTATCGGTGTTAAAAATTAATACAAACTGGAATTATATTTACTAGATTTATTTTCTATTAATAAGGCCTACGGAAACAAACAAACAAAAGTAAACTAGATTCTAATTACAATTATTATCACTAACTAACCAGGAATATACAATTAATTTACAAGCGGTGTGATCAAAAAAATAAAATGGGTTAGAGCAATTATTATTACGACGGATTTAAAATGCCGATGCGGTTTTTCGGTGCTGTAAATAAATACAATATTAGCACATAGTCAAAGATCAGGACACAAAATCGGTACGGTAGAAAAACGGAGTCTTTGGCGTTTGGTTTATTTAATAAACAATCTAAGACTTTAAGAAACGGTACGCCAGAATAATATTCGGTTTAAATTTCGGTCGGTGCTAGAAAAGGAAATAAGCAATTAAATTAGAGTAATAAATAATCAATAAAATAAGTTGTCCCCAATGGTTCTGAAACAGAAAAATAATTACGGGTTACTCTAATTCTACAAATAAATATCGGTGGCAGTTTCTAGCAAAGCGACGGAAATTAAACGAAAATGTGACCAGCCAGGAGAAAAAGCCAAGCAAAGCGGTTTACAACGGGCATAAATAAGCAAACGGTAATCAGGAAAATGATGTTGTTGGTGAACAGGAGGCAAAGTCTGGGCGAGATGCGAGTTCAAGTGCGGGGCGGCCGACAGATTTCTCCCAGAAGCGGTGGAGCACCCAGCCAAACTTCGAGGGTATATCCGTCGCTGCACAGCCGACACACAACGTCTTCTACTGGCGGTGGAACACCCAGCCGAACCAGCAGTTTCGGTTATTGTGCCTTACAGCGTTTATCAAGCTTAGGCGGTGGAGCACCCAGCCAAACCTTCGCCGACAACGCTGTTGCCGTACAGTCTGACACCTTCACGTCCTCTACTGGCGGTGGAGCACCCAGCCAAACCAGCAGTTTCAGTAAAGGGGCTCACAGCGTTTGTCGAACGAGGGCGGTGGAGCACCCAGCCAAACCGTCGCCGATAACGCTGCTGCCGTACGAGCCTGCACTCAACGTCTTCCGCTGGCGGTGGAGCACCCAGCCAAACCAACAGTTCGGTTGACATGACGGACAAAGTTCGTCGAACGAGGACGGTGGAGCACCCAGCCAAACCTTCGCCGACAACGCTGTGGTTGTACTGTCTTGCCAGAGTTCAAAACGGCCAGACATATACCATAGCAGGACAGGTAGACATATGAAAAATACAATTTGCTTACTTATTCCGGATAGTGGCTCATGGCGGCTAACTCCTTGGGTCGGGTGGCGGTCTCTGGTCGGTTTTCAGGTCTTCGTGGTGGTCCTCAGGCTGGTGTTGGAGTTCTTCGAGTTCAGCGAACTGAGGATCTTCGTGCAGGATCTGTTGTAGACCAAGAGGCTACGATATCAAATGTACGTGAAAAAATCGAAATTTGCATTTTATACCACTTTAATACTTATACTAGAGCCTTCAGCCAATCAGATGTCAGTATTCTGCTCCTCGCCAAGGCCGGGACCAATCAGAATAGAGTATCGAAACCCTTAGTTCACTTTTGTTATTTTTGAGGAAATTTTCTAGAAAGTTCTAAAAAGATGATGAAATCTGATGAAAGATTGCAAAGCATGATGTCATGATTGCAAATACGCAATAGTTAGGGGAGAATCACCCTTAATGACCGAAAATTTCTAAATAAAAGGGCTGGTTTTTCGTTTTTGAAATCAGTTCATCACCGAAGTCCTTTAGTTCAATACTAAGTTTTCAACTAAGTTCTTTTAACAAGTTACAAGTTAAAATCTTCATTCTCAAGTACGGAATACAGTGAAATAAATCTACGAAAGTGACATTGCGTGATTGCTTCGAGAAGTTTATCGCCGAAGTTCAATTGGTCTGATTCTTAGTTTACAACCAATTTCTTCCAGCAAAGTTACAGAGTTAGTTTTCATCCGCAATTACGGGGAATAAAGTGAAACACATCTTCGAAAGTAACCTTGTGTGATTGCTCCGAGTCTTGCTAGTCTTCGACATACAAAGTGCTCGTTAAATTGTCTAATTACCTTCAGTAATTAAAGAGTTGGATCGGAACTGAAACCGACATAGAAAGTTAGTGCAGTTTTTCGGAAAAGCCGAAAGGATTATACAGAGGATTACATAAAAAGTGGTTAGTAGAATTCCGCGATTTTTTTGTAATTAGTTTGAATAAGTTTAGTAACGTTCATTTTCATATACCTAGTACTCTTTTTTCTACGGTCTGGTAGTTTGAATTTGTGTTCCTGGATAATCGTTGCAGAGATTATTTCAGTGACTTACTTTTACTTATTGTTGTTAGGTTAATAGTTGTTAAACATTGTTAATCTCTTTGTCAATTTTTCTCTTCAAGAAAAATATTAATTGTACAGTTATTGTAATATAGTTTGTACCTTTTCTAAACTTGCTTTTTTTACTTCGAACCTATCTCGGATGAGATAGACCCCAACACCTACGAACTCCACGACCCGCTCTAAATTGTATAGGCGTTTTTTGTTAAGGTCACCACTCAGCACCAACTAGAGTAAATATAAAAAGTAAAACGTTGACATAGCGACGCAACGTGTGGCTTGAAGTAGTTATACGAGCCCAAGTTGGTGTTCAAAAGAAGCATTAACGTTGACAGATCGCTGGTTTTATTACTTCAATCCCCCCCTTGACTAGGCAGGAGTCGTAGTGGGATTATGCGCGCGGCCCTCGACAAAGTGGGGCAAACGGACGGTTCGGCTCGACTTGCGGTTAATTGCTCTCACCCAATTAAACTAATTAGATAAATATATGGCCAACGGCCTTGCATAAAACTTGAAATTAATACAGGTTCATTACATCATAACTATTTTTTAAAAGCAAACGAAAGTGGCATAATTCCCTAATACTTAAAACTCGTGTAAAAATTATTTATTTTATTGATTTTTGATGACATATTCGTATTCCCCTCATTTTGCTATATCAAATTATAAAAAAATCGTTGATAAGTGCTACCGTTCCCGAGAAAAGTCATCTTTTATCGCGTATACCCATTTTGAAACCCATGCGGCGCGCGGCAGCGCAGCTGCTCTCAGTCATCCCCACTCCCGCTCTGCCGAGAAATTCCAGTGACCACGGTACCTTTCTTGGTTTTTCTTTCATTAAGCTTTTATCTGTCAAAAATGTACTAAACGGATATTGAAAGTAGTTGTAGTTAGCTGTAAAAACATTTTCTTTTCTAGACTTTACGATTACGTAAGCAATAAAATTATTATTAACTTTTAACTACGCTTTTATATCTCAGAATCTACACAGTAGAATGCTGTCGTATTTGGCTTACGACGTAGTTTTTATGTGTGCAAGATTTTGTCGATTGCATAGAAAATTTCCTATAATAAAATGTTTAAAAATTTTAAAAAAATTCTAAATGGTTATAAAAGTGTAAATTAGGTATTTTTTGTATTGATCATTGTTTATTATTACAACAAGTAAAAATTGTGTGCCCTTTCTAAACCTTAATTTAAACTCAGGTACGCGATAAACTTTTTAAAATTTTCTTAATTAACAATCCTGTCAATCGAAAACCCCGCGATCGATCGTTGCAAAATTTTTAGGGTAGAATTGACATATGTTTTACTATTTGTTCACAAAGTTTCATCAATATTTATAAATATTTACTTATTTTAAAAATTGTTCCAAATATACATACATATGATTCTCTACTATTTTTCGCCCATTGTTAATGCAAAATTCAACTTTTTTGATTCGCAGTTGCAATAGGCAAACTCGATTCTTATTTTACATAATATCTGGGATTTTTCTGTTCGACAAAATAGATGACTTCAAACACAAACGCCAAAGCCTACTTTTACTGCTTTATCGCCTGGACTAACTCGCTTAAAAGTTTTAAAACACATTTTAAAATGTACCTCCACACTATTCCAAAAACATTTACTATGATATGAGCCGTATTATCAGCTCCATGCACAAGGCCATTACAGTATTTTTTTAAACTTCTCGTTTATATATAAATAGATATTTACAAGCAGAAGCAAACGACGAGGGAGAAAAATTTATGTCAGATATTCCTCTGATTATTTGTCCTTTTATCGTTAAATTTGTCCTGTAACGACACGTCCCTTTGCCCATTATGCAGAGTTCGCTGTTCGCCTGTTTTCCGTGAAGTATTTGGCCTCGGGGAACTCTTTTTGTATAAATTGAACGATCGGAGATAATCAACCTTCAAAAGAGAGGACACCGATATTACTTAACGAGTCAATGATTGCAGAGATAAATAAGAAAAAGTGAGTTTCTGCTATTTAAAAGTCAGCATAACTGAGAGATAGGTATATAGAAAATACATTTTTTATTATTTAAAATATAATTTTACTGCTAAAGGAAATGAGGACATTTCCTGAAATGACTAATGTGTAGGTTTTATTTAATGACTTTTTACGTAAGGGGTTGTTTATATTATTTCTAATTATTATGTTTTTCTTTTAAATATTGAAAATAAGACAGTTAAAAAATATAACGAAATATAATGTATTAGTTATATAAAGCAATTCAGTTTTAATACAACTGCTTATTAAAGTTAAATAGGTTCGTTTCCTTTTAACCATGTTCAATAAGTTTGCTTGTAACTGATGAAGGCATATTAATATTAAAACAAACATGTTCTTATTTATTTCAGTGCATTTATATCATTAATAGTTTATTTAATACTTACCATTCATAAAGTTGAATAATAGTATATTAAACAACAAGGTTTGAAAACGACTCTTTGCACACGAGCAAGACATATTGGTGGACCGAGCCGAAGGCAAGGTCCACAAGTTGAGCGAGTGCGCAAAGAGGTTTTCAAACGAGTTTTTTACGATACTTTTTATACGACTGCAAACAGAGACCACAAAAATCAAATTTTAATTTAAATCGTTTTTATTACTAAAATTGCCAACGCATTAACAAAATAAATTAAATATAACTTTTAATTTAACTCGTTTTTATTAAGAAAATTGCTAACGCATTAACAAAAGAAACTAATATTTAATATTTATGGTAACATTTGAACATCCCTTCAAAGTTACGCTGGGAAAAGAAGTATTATTGTGCACCTTGTTTTCGGTAATAGATAATATTTTTGGTGTCGTGTTTTTAGTGCAGTTTTTCAGCGTGCGGTCGTTGTTTTCTTGTTGTATTCCAGTAGACGATCGTTGTTCTGGTTCTGTGGCAGCAGAAGACACTGAAGACTCTATCTTTTTCGAAACTTCCATTTTATTTCTCAAACAGTCATCAACGTAGCCTTCGGCAACTGTACTGGATTTCCACCCTCCATGGCGTTTGAGGGCAAGCAGATTTGAGCCAGAATTGACTAAAATTGTGGCCGATGAACGCCGAAAACAATGTCCCGTGTAACTTTCTGGATTCTCTAGCATCAAAAACTTGGCGATTTCCCTAGCCATGTTTCCAATTTTGTTGATGCCAACGTTTTGGCTTGAACATTTTCCGTTTTGATAGTTTAAAAAAAACCTGCCTGTCTTCAGATTAGGAGGACGAAGAGCACAGTACTTTTTTAAGATAGTGTAAAGGTTTCCTGTAATTGTAAAACACCTTGGTACCTTTGTTTTTGTATTCTTCAGTTTAATCAGCATAGCACTGCCGAAATCTTTGGTGTCTTCTATTTTGAGATAACATAATTCCTCCCTTCGACATGCCCCAGATAGTCCAACTGCCACCACCGCCTTGATAAGTAAATATTTGTCGTCTGATGCTTTCGTCAAAAACCGGCAAAAATCATCTTCTGTGAGGATTTGGGACTTCTTTGGGACGTAGTTTTCGGATTTTCGTTTGATTAGCGCTTGCAACTTTTTATAGCTTCCAAGATCTATGTTGTGATTGGCACTTAACGTTGACTTGAGCATCGAAAAAATCGTCCACAACGTCGAAGATTTATATTTCTTAGATAGTTCTTCAAAATACACCATTACTGCGTTTTCTGAGAAAGTTTGGACATTTTTGGCTAGTCGCCAGTCCATAAATCGGCTTAACTCAGCTTCATACCTGCTTCTGGATTTTGTGGGCAGCAGTTCCGAACATATTTCGCTTGCTTTCTGTAAAATCTCTTCAGAATCACACATTTTCACACCCAAACTTCGGGAATTCAACAATTTTTGAAGTATCTAATCAACAAAATAAAGGAGCCGTGACGGTTGCTATGAAACTCAGCCAACTTGAAACATTGCATAATTTGGGTGACAACATCAAACAAAAATCACAATCTGGAGACGCATATACAAAGATGACATAACCGTGTGCAAAATGTTTAGAACACGGCGTGTGCAAAATACCGTTTTCAGAGCGTGTTTTCCGTGCGCAAAACCTCCTTTTGCAAGACAGTCATATAAAAAATAAATAAAAAGTTTAATATGTGAAATGTGTAAGACTTAGTTTTCGTTTATTTAATTTAAATTAACTACTTTCAAACTTACAATAATTTAAATGTAAAATTTATAAAAAGTTATTCTACAAAGAAAATAAACAATTAAGTAATTTAAATTTAAAAGAATCGTACCTGAACATACAGGTTGATTTGATATTAGATAATAATTTTCTCAGTGCATTGTTTTTCAATACAATTCGATACAACAGTTCTTGTATAAAAATTTTATATCATTCTGGAAATTAAAAAATAATTCTAAAAAAAATGTAAATGTAAGATTAAGCAAGTAGCATATTATCTAGGGCTCAGGCTAGACTTCTCCTTTTAATCATTGTGCATTGATGTACAATTACTTTAGGTAAATAATTATTATGATTATTATTAACTCCAATTAGATCACAAACCCTGAAAACTTTTAAAAAATATTAGGTATTAAACAGGTAGTAAACACTGTATTGTACTTTATGACGATGCATGATATATAGAATGATGATATCAAAAAACTATCTCGAAATAAGTGACGCTAAGTTGGCAAATTGCAAAATTATGTGTTGTTTCACTTTTTTTCTGTCAATAGAAATTTAGACGATATATCGGAAAATTAGTTTTTTTATGTTGTAGGCAATTACCTACAATTTAAGGTACCTACCCAAAGTCATATTTCACCAATTTGTTAACTAGAATATAGGTCGAACGCGTAAAAATCAGTTTTCGAAAATAGCGCATTATTATTGCAACTTTTTCGATACGTGTTTTTAGATCAATTAGAACCTATATCTACGATATTAAAAACGAAATAGATTAATTGACAAATGCCTGGAGCAACAATTTTACGGTCAATCGAATCGGCCTTTGGTACATATATTAGTCATTGGATTGACCGTCTTTTCCATAAATTTCATCAATATCCATCGCTTGTTGCAATAATAATGCGCAATTTTCGAAAACTGATTTTTCCGCGTTCGACCTTTCTTTTACAGTTAACAAATTAGTGAAATATGACTAATTTAATTAACATAAAATAACTAATTTTCCTATAGATCGTCTAAATTTTCATGGGCAGTAAAAAAAAGTTAAAAAACACGTAATTTTGCCAATTATTTGCAATTTGCCAACTTAGCGTCACTTATTTTGAGTTAGATTTTTGATATCATCATTAAACATACTGTTCACTATTGTAAAGTGCAATAAAATGGCTAATAATAATTTATAAAGTTTTCAGGGTTTATGATCTAATTTCACTGGACTATAAATAGACTTGATTCATCTGAAATGTAAATGGGGCCTCCTGAAATGAAATTTTCTAACATGAAATTGAAATGACCCTTTTTGAAATATTGACAGCTTCTGAAATCTGGAAAAAGGTACATTAATATGTATTTTCAAAATAACATCACATGAATTTTTTGTGGAATTTATTGAATTACGTTTCTGTTATAATCAGAACGAAATCATTAATTAACAAGATAGGCTATTGTGAAACCGAAAAACAGGGATAGCTGGGAGGCGCCTCATAAAATGATTAATAGCCCATTGTCATAAAATAATGAAGTGCAGATAACCCGCTGAAAATAAAAAATTTAAATATACACGAGAAATTATTGCAAGTGAAGTGTGTACTCCACTATAATGGAGACGACAAATTATTTTCTTTCTGCGAGGATAGTGGTAGTTTATTTTAATGCTACATGCTGTCCCATAGGAAATATTTTAACAAAGTCGTTGAGGTGGTTAGTCGTTAGTATTCACCTGCTGTTTATTTAAATTAGAATGTATCTAGATACGAAAGTTTATTCAAAATCAGTTGATGGCATAAGGGAATAATTTAAATAACTAATAAATTCTACCCTTTAAATTTTAAATTGGTTCACATTTAAGAAATTATATCTTTTGAATAATTTTATTATAAAGTTTAATTGCATAATAAGGCTAATATAAAATAATAAGTTTCAAATAAAACAGAATATAAATTTGTATTAAAAATGTTTTCTTTTTAATTCTCCTAGTAGATAGTACAAAATTATAAATGGTTATATTAAATCTCATTAGTTAATTATAAACAAATCTAAACAGTTTTTTACTCCTTTTTACTTTTTAAATGCAACTAGTTTATCAAGCAATTTAACTAGGATAAATGTAAACTGACTACACTAAAACGAGCCGATTACTTTAATAAAAGTAATTGTTTTTTCAGTGTATAATCAATGAAACTATTAGAAGTGTCATCCCATAATACATAATGTTTCCTACACATATTTGATATTTCTATAGAACATTATAAATACAAAAGATACACTTTCTTAGTCGTTAAATGTTAACAGAATTTTGTTTTGTTTCTTTTTTAAAATACTCTCTTTTCCTGTTTAGTCGTAATCCTCGTCACTAGCCTGGACTTATACGAGTATACTTTTTGTCACGTTCTCTGCGCATTGTTTTACAAATGAGCATATTATCTTATGAGTAGCGATTCCGCATTTACCATTTTAATTCATTCTTTAAATGTAATTTAATTTTTATCTATTATAACTTTCCATCAACTTTGACTTTTCTGAGATGTAACATTCCCATTTCCTTTATTATTATTTTTTTCTTATAAGCTCAGGATTTGTGGCGATTCGATATAAAGGCGCTGACAACCACATTTTGTAATATCTCCTTTCCTCTCATTTTTCTTTCTAGACAGTATCTTTATGATATCGATTTCCTTTTTTTTTCCTTTTAATGCGCTTATTTTCTCAAGAGCTTAATTAAATAGGACTATATCGTTATCAATTTATTCCAAAACCTGATATCGCTTACATCTTTCATTTCGCAACTTAAATTCTCTGGTTTCATTTTTCCATTTTTTTAAAGCTTCTTCCATCATAAGTTTGAAGTTATCATATACCCAGTGCCGTATTTACTTAAGAACAAAATAAGTACTAGCGTAAAAAAATACTGTTTGCGTTTCCTGAAAATTTTACATATTGTTACTATGTTATATAGGACAAAAAATACGAGACACGTATATTTTGTTTTCCCCCGATAAACATTTGAAAGGGATAAAAATCACCCTTAAAGTTTTCCCGCAAAAATAGTTTCTTCTTCGTTTAACCGCATTAGATACCCAAGGTAGAAAGACATTGGTGGCGGGCATAGCGTTCACTCTTCGTAAATGTATCATCCTGTATTATTGTATTATCTTTTAGTTTATTTATGATTTGTACTATACTGTACTGTAAAAGAAATAAAAACACATTTTAATTTCAAAAGATCTACTTTATATACTGTGTTTCTTAAGTAGGGGACAAAACTCCAAGGGTATATTCTGTGGCCAAAAAATAAGGGTCTTATTGTTATATAAATATGGGATCTTAGGACAGCCATTGTCCAGCTACAGCGTATCAAAAATTTAAAAAAAAATCAGTTTTTAATTTTTAATTTCTAAACCACTTGAGATAATTTAACCAAATTCGGTTGCATATTTAGTATGACAGTAGGTACGAAACAAAAAATTACCATTTTTAGAAACTTACCAGTGGTGGAGGTTTGCGTATCATCGATCATTATTTGCCAAAAAAAAAATATCGCCCTCTATAATATTATAAATAAAATAGGTCATCATATGCGCTATTGTTTTATCTTCATTTTGTGTTTCTTTAAATTTTTTGTATTCCAAATCGATTAACAACAAAATTGATTTTAATATTCTGAAAATAACGCGGAAAATTTCAAGGTACGCCCCTGCCGCGGTAAATTGTTACAGTAGTTCTCATAAAAGAACTTTATTGGCTTCTTTTCTTGCAATTCTATGTCAACAATTACCGTATAGTGTATAAGTACTAATTTATTTATTTTATGCACAAGGTTGCTCTATACAGCTACTGCTTTTGTATACCTGGTATATTTTTATATCTGTTGAATGCGGTTTCCTTCAATTAACAAATTACAGGTGTAACTTATTTCCTACGCCATTATGTTTTTGTTTAAACTGTGTTTTAGGTTAAACCTAGCACGCAACATTCCAATTATAGCACACAACCCAATTTTGTAAAGGAAGTAAGCAATGGCTGACAGGTAATTACCTTCTCCGATAAAAAATTTGTTGTTATTGTGGTATGGTGTTTTGTATTCCGGAATATAAAATCAACAAAAAAATAATAATAATTTCAAATATTCATCGCGCTATGATTTATTGCCTTTTTATGTCTACGCAGTTAATAATCAAAAATATACATAATTTAGCTTCCTTTTTCATTACTTGATGGACGGTCGAATTTTTACTTTATTCAAATCAGTAGTTATATGTATAGGTAGTGTTTATTTTTGGCCATCATTGAGATCTCATAAGGGTAAGAGATAAAGATTTAATTAAATTAGGAAAAAGTGTGACCATCAAACTTCTGCAGGATGTTTTTTGGTCAAGATTCTCATAATAATGATCTAGTGGTCAATTCCGATTTCCTGAATTGGTCATATCTGCATTCGTTGAAGAGTTATGGCGAACACTGGAAATTGGCTCATTAATATTATTTATTAGCTACGAGAAATTCAGAAATTTATTTATCAATTTATTTATATACAGGGTGTTTCATTGTAGTCTTTATACAGGAGGTAAATCTGCGCATGATTTTTAGTAAAAAAAGTTCATATAAACGTATGTCCATAATTGCTTCGTTACCATGGTACAGGGTGTTAAAAATTCAATAAATCTTCTGTTTTTCCTTTGTATCTCCAACAGTTTTTGAGATATGTAGCTCAAAGGAACGTAGGCTAACATAGATTATCTGCATCATTAGCCCTGCCTAATAGTTGTCAGGATGATATTTTTTCTGGAGTCGGGCCTCGTTTCAGCCACCTAAACTTTCTTCCGATACGTCACCGCACCGGTCTTTTCTAGAACAAAGTTTTAATTCCCTGTTCAATTTAGAACCTTTTCTGTCTCAATTTTTTCGTAAAATAAAAAATTATTTCCTGTAACTCGCTAAATTAAAAGCGCCTGATTTCAAAATCCCGTAGTAGATTCTGATTGACGAATAATAATTATTTTGTTTTATTTATTGGCAGTTCATCTTTCAAATCTGAACTTCTGCCTGCATTTGATTGTTGAAATATCAGTAATATAAATTTTACTAAGGTTGAGTTGGCTGATATCCATTTCATGTATGATATCGCCAATAACTAATATACAAGGTGAATCTTGATTTATACGCATAAACTACAGAAACGATTCCATGAAAATAAGTTCATATAATCATTCAATGATGATCACTTTATAGTGCGTTTTTGTTTTATACCTCTGGAACCGCTTTTGATAATAAATATGAATTTTCGTACACAAATTACTATTAACGAAAGCTATATTTTGAAGTAAGCAGTCATATCCAATTTTAATCATACACGCGCGGAAGGGAAGCCGGGATTATTTTTTAAATATCTCTTAAAATTTTGACTAAATTATATTTTTTATATAAAAAGGGTATTCATGAACAAAATCATTACGGAAATTCGGTTTTCCAGACAAAGCGCTCGTAATGATATAGTGCAGTGTAGTAATTGATTAGAATCTGATTAAACAAAGGTACTTAACTCTTAACCTAAAAACTTTTTTAAATTAATTGCTTTTATTGACGGTAATTTGTGTCCCAAAATTCATATTTATGTCTAAAGCAGATTGAGGAAGTTACAGAGATATTATTTTGTTGAGATAGAATTCCAATAATAAAATAAGCCAATAAAGTTCTACTATCTTAACTATTGTAATAATTTACCGGGACAAGGGTGTGCCTTGAAATTTTCCGCCAGAGCCTTTCTATCTCGGGTGTCGAGTGCGGTTAATTCCAATAAAGTGACGCAGGGTCTTCTTGGGATTCTATCGCAACAAATATCGTACTAGCAGTAGTTTTCTTTTGCAAAACAATTGAACTTCACATGTACGACCTTTTTGAATTTCATATCTCTTTAGTGGCATTTATATTTCGAAATATTTGGGTACTTTTATGTAACCATTTTAATTTTTTTTAGAAAATTGAAGAGAATGTTATAACATTTCTAAGAGTTTGATGACAAATAATGTACATATATATTTAATAATATAATTTGTCAATCTGAGATATTTTGTTTACAAAAATGACACTAAGGTATAAAAGAGAGTTTAACCTTGAAATATTCAACGCTTTGACAACATGGAGAAACACCATTAATTATAAACTTCAGAATCAATGCAAATTAGACATAACTTCCTTGCCTTGGGGGCTATGGGAGTCCAACTCTTAGGACAACTTAATTACATTTATGGCTTCATTTCATTCTCAACGTTCTTACAAATCCTGCGATCCAAGAAAGCAACCAAACTTATTTTTTAACAGCCTCCGAAAAAGTTTTTAGCCACTTTTTCTTGATCCATATATCCACTTAAAGTTAAATAGGGTCGGTTCCACAAATACAATTTTACAGGGTGTAACAGCCACGTTGCAACAAACTTTCAGGACTTATCCCTCTAGTTAAAACAGACAAAAATATAAGATTGTTTTTTTTTGCTAAAGCGATCTTCTAACGTAATAAATAATTCTAGGGTTTTACGTTCCTATTTTCTGATAAAAATTATAAACATTTCAACACTTTGGAGCTTAGAGGCGAGATGCCTTGAGGATTTGTTTATAAAATATTTTTTAATAATTTGAAGAATCAATTTTAGAATATGACATTTTAAAATATACGAAGATAAGTTAAACATTACTTTCATCTGTTAAATTTGAAATTTCTTTTTTTTGAAAAAATTAAGTTTTTGTATGGCACGTCATTGAAATAATAAATCATAATTCTGCAATAAAACACTACTTAGTCGTTTTATGTCGTTATTGACAACACTTGTAAAAATTATCTGATTAATTGAGTACAAAGTGGGTCGTTCATGCGATATCTCCCGCTAATTATCCTGCAAGAGTCGATTGGTTTTTGGAAATGTATCAGAATAAATTCTTCTTGCCTCATCACAATTGCCGGGTGCTTGTCCATAAATAGATGCATGTCAACATATTCGCATAGGAATAATGCCCCATTATTTAATATTGTGGACCCGCAATCACACAATGTTTACAACTGTTGTCAATAACGATATAAAAACGACTATAAGGTTTATTAGAGAATTCTGATTTATTATTTCAATGACGTGTTATAAAAAACTGATTTATTATTACTGAAACAAATTTACCTTTTTTAAAAAGGAAGTATTTAAAAATTCAGTTTTCAGCTCTATAAAATCACGCCTGTCAAAATTTTGGCTCAACGAGTGTGGTGGCAAGTCCGTTCCTGACTTCCCTGACAGTGTAAAACATCCACTGTAGTTTGGTTTTACGAGCCATAAAGACCTACATAAAATATTAAAATTTCTGTTCAAAAGTTAGATCCGAAAAGGTAAATCGTTGGGGTATAGGGGTACGTTAAGGGGCACATTAGGATTTTTTTTTTATGACAAAGTAGAATTATTTTCACCTTCCCTTTCACTCCCGAGAGTATGCCATATACTTGCCAGACACCCTGTATGTATTTTGATGAATTGAATCCGAATTCAGAATTGCTCCATCACCCCCCAGTATTTTTAAAATCTCCGAAAAAGACATCCTTAGATGCGGAAAAAGCCACTGTAAAGGGATATACCATTTGGAACAATGAAGTTACTGCAAGACCATATCTATATATTTTTTGACGTGCTGAAGCCGAATCTGAAGTCGGACTCAATCTATCACCCTTCGGTATCTTTTACCGTGTAAAATAACCTTAAAATCTTGGAAATTCCTTCCCTAGAGATAGAAAGAACTTCAGTGATTTGATATCCGCAGAGAGATGAGGGTATTCGAAGATGTGAACCTCGTTTTCAGATAGAAAAATATTTCTTTTACTCCTTTTTCTATTTGTAACGAACTCTTTTAACTTCAAACGATCTATGCAACAGATTTCTTTGTCATTTCTGTATTTTTGGCTTCTAGGAGAAATCTGCCATCATATTAACATCCCACCTTCCTTGGTACCGACGCTCCATTTCCTTGATACCTTGGTGAAACTGTTCATCCTGTTATTTGCTGCAGTCTTCGAGTTTCTTCGGAAAGTAGTCAAGATGAAGGTCTAGAAAATGCAATTTCAAGTTCATTAGTTTTCTAACAATTTCTCAACTAAATTCTGGTAACACTCATTCTTCCGATTCTCTAAGAAATCCTGAGTAATGGTCGTATGACTCTATGCTAAAATTATAACTAATTTCAGTAATTAACTCAGAACTTTTTAATATTGCATAGTATCATACAGAAACTGCAACAATTTTTGTTGATATGATACTATGCAGATTAAAAAGTTCTTAATTAAATACTGAAATTAGTTATAATTTTAATATATTGATATGCGACCCTAACTGTCTTAAAATTTAGGCATGCTGGTCAACTTTCTTAAAACTTACCAATGTTGCTCTTTCAATATCATTCGTTTTAGTGATTTTTCGTCTCTGAATACAGTACGGATTTGGCGACCATCGAAAATACCTTCTTCCGGTTTAGCATAATTGATTTCCGGAAATTTCTCTCCTAAATATCCAAAATACTCACCATCTTTATCCAAGCAACTAACTAAGGTTCGAAAGTTTATCGCCTTAAGATTCTCAACAGAATTTCGTCATTAGAAATTTAAAAAGAAATAAAGGAAAAACCGAACAAAAATTATTGAATTTTAAGGTGTATTAGTACTATTAAAAATGCTAATCTACTATACAGGGTGGTCCGAATTTTATGCAGGAAACTTCAAGGGCTGATAAATCTCTTTAAAATAATAGGTGTTTGCCTTATAAACATAGGACTGGAACGGCCTCGTTTTAGAGATACAAGGTGTTGAAGTTGTTAAAAAAATTAAATTTTTTGTTTATATCTCCGGAATCTATTAACCGATCTCAATAAAATTTAGTACAGATAATGTACGACAGTAGGCCTTGCATTACCTAAAATATTAGCTCTAAAGGTTCAACCAGTGGTGTACAACTGGACAGGATCACCCCTTTTTTATAAAAAAAAACCTACGCCACTGTATTTTTT